ATATATATGCTACATTACTTTGGTGAGTTTTCGCAGAAAATGCAAAAAAGAACAAAAACAATTCAATATTTCATACACCTATTATTTCGTAGTAGCAACTGTAAATACTGTACATACTGCCTACCAATTTTCAAAAAAATTTAATGGCTTGTTAAGAATCTTTGATTGAAAATTAGTTTTGGTTTTCGATGTTAAGTCAAAAAAGGGAGAAAAAATCAATATATTAAATAAAACAGAATATAGTTTGTTTGGGTCATAAAAAAATAAGTTTGCACAAATTTTCTTGGGAAAAAAATTTGCGTAAAAGACAAAGATAAACAAAAACAAAAAACTTGGTTATTTTAGTTTTTCGCATAAATTTTGAGATTATATGAAAATAATGTCAATACGAAAGTTGTAGATATTTTCATTACCTACAACTTTGCCATATAACTAGGATCCGTAGTTTTGCCGTAAATAGAGATAAATCGATTTTAACCCATAAAAATTTCAACATGCTCCTCCCTTTCGTCTTTTTGACGAAAATTATTTTTCCTCACATTTCTGATTTTAACTTTCGTTTACAATGGGTTTCGATCTACTATGATTTTTTTACAATTTTAACCATTTTCAAAGGTTTCAGAGCTCTGGCATATATTTTTAAAAATTTATTGATTTATTTATTTTTATACCTTATACAGGCTATATTAAGTTTGGCACGATGTTTTTAAAACCAAAAGGAAACGTCGGAGACCCTACATAAAGGGTTTTCCAATAGGGATGATATGATTTCTTAGTGTCGTTTCGGCCATTTTTAATATGTCATGATCTGTAATTTTTTTTTTTCATTGTATTCCGTAATGTTTACAATTTCATCATGGAAAGATATGCGCAGGAACAACGTTTACAAATTACTCAATTGTATTATCAAAATAATCGTTCTCCAATTGCAATTTTTTTTTTAAATTCATCTTCCCCGATGAGGTGGTACGGTAAATAAACAAAACTGTCGATTCTGGTGCGAAGAAAATCCACAAATGATTTATGAACAACCTAAACATTCTCCTAAATTGACACGTTGTTATGGTTTTTGGTGTGGTGGAATCATCGGTCCGTACTCTATTCGAAATGAAGCCTGTGTCAGTAACAATTTACTGCCAATGGAGAGCACGATAGATTTATGATAAACAACATTTTATGGCCGCAATTGGAAGAAGTTGATCTTGACAACATCTGGTTCCAACAAGACGGCGCTGCGTGCCACACAGCCTGTGCAACAACCGAATTATTGCGAGAAATTCAAGAAATTGTGACATTGAATGGCCTCCAAGAAGTTGTGGTTTAACACTATTAGAGTACCTCTTGTGGGGTCATTTGAAGTCATTGGTCTTTGGCAATAAACCAGACTCTTCAAGCTTGAGAAGTCAATATTGAACGTGATTTTCATGACATACGACTTGATTTAGTGGAAAAAGTACTCAAAAACTGTGTTCATGTTTCTGCAAAATAAGTCGTGGCGGCTATTTGAATAATGTAATATTCAGAACTTAATTGAATCGATTGTGTTTTTTTTAAACATATCACACTTATAGGAAAACCTTTTACATATAAATGATCAGCGTGGCGAGCTGAGTCGGTTTAATCATGTCCGTCAGTTCGTCGGTACATACGCCAACTAGTCCCTCAGTTTTTAAATTATAGATCTGAAATTTTACACATGTCATGTTCTCACCAAAAATTTTTTATTTAGCAAGGTATCTGCACGAAATTTAACACAGCTTATTATCCAAGTCAACGCTAAAATCTACGAAGAAGTTGTGCAGGTCGCAGCACTACAGCTTATAAGTGACATTTAAGTTGACCGATTAAAACCAGAATAACAATCTTTGTATACCCTTTTATACTTTAAAAGCTGCACCTGTGAATTACAGCCTCGATGCAACCGATGTATAGGTTTATTCTTATTTTAAATATTTTCTAAGCTTTTTCAGTTTTATTTAAGTTTGTATTTAGTTCAAAATAGCACCAAACCATCGGGGTTTCAGAGCACAGTAAAATGTAAATTCATATTTTTCGGCTAACGATTTCCGTTATCAATTTGACTACACATGTAGCCAATTGCACAACATAGGCATTTAAATTGTAATGAAAAATAGTTGATAGCATAGAAATGCGTTTATGTGTGTGTACATATGGTATATACCACATCTACTTGAAGTATTTCTACATTTTAATAATAGAAAGGAAAGATAGAATACATTGTTCGACGCTAAAATGTCTTGCATCATTAGTCATTTTGTTAAATTTGTGCACACTAGACACACATCTACGTATGGTATGTATGTATATATATATATGAAATAGCATCTAAATTTGTTATAGAAAAAACGACACGGGCAGTTGGCACGGCATAGTTCACTTGTACAATTGCTGTTTATCACATGTTGATCATATGTACAGCTATCAATTGCCTTGGGATATACGCGTACATGTGTCCTAGGTAACAATATTGATTATGTATGCACAAAACAATGTATGTATGTATGTATATGCTTTATTTAAGCAGTTTGATAAAATATAAATGAAATGAACATTGACTTCGTTTGCATTTGAGTTCATGATATGTAGAAAATGCTTATAGTAAATGATCAATTGCTGACGGACTTATATAAATACATACATACATATATGCACACAGCTGTATATAGCATGTTGCATTTTTTTATAGAAATATGTTTACTTGACAAATAATTGATTTGTTAAATTTTTATCAGTACTTCGTTTGTTTGAAACGATTAGTAATATACTATGTACATAGATAAAATATTGTATATAAAAGCAAATACTTCATATGTGAAAATCGATATGCATACAAATTAACATTCGTACATAGTACATAGGTATATACATAAGTGTGCCGCTGTGGAGTTTCGACATTTATTGCCTCGGCATTTCGCACTTTAGATATGATAAGCGACACGTTTTCCCGCATATGCGCGTACCCAACGGTACAAAAAAATATAAAAAGTAATTAAAAATATAAATATTTAAAACAGAATAATATAAAAATATTTTGAAAAAATTTACAAAAATAAAATATAATATATAAATAAAGGATTATTATATATGAAAAAAAGTTTAAAATAAATAATAAACAATAAAAAATATGGTTTTTATATTTCATATAAAAAATATCGGAAAATATTAAAAAATTTATTAAAATATACAGCATCTACAAATAAAGTATAATTTAAGAAAATTTACAGAAATTTAACACAAAAAAAATTTAATCATTTCATAACTTTGATTAATAAAGAATAATGAATAGAAATATAATATAAAACAATAATTTTATTAATAAAATTAAAGAAAAAAATATAAAAATAACAAGAGATAATATAAAAGTATTTATAAAAAAAAAATAAATAATGATTAAAACAGAAATATTTAAAAAATAATAATTTAAAAAAATATTAATTAATAATAATAATTTAAAAAAAAATCAAGAAATAAATTCATAAAACTTTAACATTTCCGAATAAATAACAACAATTATTAATTTACACTGTATATAATTAAAAAATATAATTATTATATTTCATAAATAAATAATAATATTAACCAAAAATTTTTATTTAATTTGGTTTTGAGGAATCTGAGCAGTTTTTGTTTGGATATACAATATAAATGGTGCTTAGATTCATCCAAAAAAAAATGAAAAATATAAAAACAACAAATAATATTTTATGAAATAAACCTGTAATATAATGTACCAACTTTTAATAAATAATAAAAAAAAAAATTTCTTTACTAAATAATTAATTATATTAAATATAAAACAAAAAACAAAAAAATTTAAAGAAATAATTCATAGTTTAACAAAAACAAAATAAATAAATAAAACATTAAAATTTTTTATATTTTATTTTATATATCATCGTTCATTATAAAAAAAAGTAAAAAGTTAATCTCAGTGTTTCTAAAAATAATGCGCATTAACTACAAAAAACAATATTTTTTAAATAATATTTTGTAAAGATAACATTAGTAAATACCAACAACAAATAGTGATTTACGCTTTAATATATTTTAATTGCGAACACTTTTTTAACCAGTTTGTTATCGAAATTCGCGTCTATTATAAAGTGTATCGCAAATAAATTAAAATTTTTTCATTAGAAACGCTTATCTATATAAAACTAATAATCTTCTGAGCCACTTTAATGTTTGCGCCGACAACAAAATTTACTCAAATGTTTACGAGTAGCCTGTAGGAAATGTAGCTAATGCAGGCTGACTATGCGTTTGGTGACTTATGCATTATTTGCGAAACTGTTGTTGTAGCATATCCGTTAGAATAGTTACAATAAGGTTTAAGGGTACTGGAAATGGGTTTCTGGTATACATTTTGTTATTTAAATTTTTTAAAACTATTTTTAATATTCTTTTACAAATATTTTTTATATTATTTTATATTTGTTTATTTATTTTATATTTTTTGTAAATTAAAAAAAAAAAAATATTTTTTTGTTTTTGTAAATTATTATTAAAGATATAAAATTTTAGTAAATAAGTCATATATTTTAGTAAATAAGTCATAATATTAAAGATATAAAATTTTAGTACATAAGTCATAATAATTTAACACAAAAAAAATTTAAGTTATATATGTATATTTGTTTCATTATATTTAATGTAAATTATTTTTTAATAAATATCTGTATTTTTTTATAATAAGTTAAAATTTTTTTTGTATAATTACTATTATTTATTAAAAAAGTTAAGCCTAAAAATATTTTTTTTATTAATAATGAAATTTAATGAATGATTTGTTATATAGGATTTTTCAATTAGAAATATTTAAAAAAAATCGAAAAATTTATATATAAATATTTTTTTTATTTCCCTCTTTAGTTTAAGTAATTTTCTTAGTAAAAATTAATTGTAAATTCTGCCACACTTATAAAACAACTTAACTGTAACCAACCAATAAATTGACTACTTTTCTCTGCTCGTTGCAGACCCACCAAATGCGGGCCGTCTCGAGCCCTTCCCTCACAGATGCTCTACAGGAGGAGCTCAACTACGCTTCCGTTGGTCCTGCTGCCGCTCCAGCCGTATTTAATGCACATACACAAGATTCCGGTACCTCCGGTGAGTCCCCACCGACAATGGTCACGGCAACAAATAATAACCAAAGCAACAGCAGTACCAGCAGCAGCGGCCGACCATTGGGAAGCCTGCCGAGTAGTCAAAGTGTAGGCGTGTTGCAAAAATTCAAACGCACGCTCACCAATTTCAATAAGCCGGCGCAGCAGCAACAACAACAACAACAACAGCCGCAACATATAACAAACAGCAATAGCACACAAGCTCTCGTCATGACCAACTCAATGTCGACTACAAGCGCCACCATAGCGGGTGGTGGTAGTGCCGGTGGCATCAATGCGATTGCCGGTGAACATCAATCCGATCAATCCATGGCGAATGTCGCGCTCGAGGGTACAGCGGGCAAATACCGTTTTGGTCCGCTTATATGGCGTTCATCGAAGGAGCGTCGCAAGACGAAGTACAATCGTCGTGATAAGTGCAATAGCGGGGACTCGGGCATACAAATCGAACTGGACAATGATGAACAATTCTCGCGCATTATGCTGCCAGCGAATTGTATTGGCGGAGGTGGGGGTGTCGGTAATGTCAGTGCGACAACCTCGAGTGCGACGGTCTCGGCGACATCGGCACAATGCATTGCAAAGGGGAAGGTAAGTGTCAATAGTATGTGTTTGTTGTTGATGGGCTGCTAAAATGAGCTCTGGAGAACAGTGTGGAAGAAGCAATTTGTGGTTGAGTGGAAATTCAGATCATTTCGGTGAGATAAAGCTAAGTGTCTATACCCTTGGAAATTATTTAAAAACGGCTTTCCGGGGTTCAACGAAGACTATTCTAAAGATAAGTGAGCAAACATTTTCATTAATATTCTCCTAATATTCTCTCTAATACTATAGACACAGAAGCAACCCACAGAGAAAATATCTGTCTGTAATAGAGACAAGTACGGTTCAAAAAGTGCGTTGCAAATTGTCAAAACGTATTATGCCTGTCACATATTTATTGAATAATATCAATATGGTCCGGGTGATCAGGAATGCAGCCGAAGTGAACGATGATTTCGGAATACCTCTTTCTGGGACTGTTTAGGAATAAGACCCAAGTACTTCATTTATACGACAGGGCCACTTCATAGTCATAAAATTCTTTAGCAATACTGAAAAACCTTAAATATGAAGTTCTCTTCGATATTTAAATTGAATGAATCGTTATAAAATATAGACCTTAAAAACTAAATCTTATTAGAAGCTTTTTTTTAGATCAGAAAAACATTCAGACATCGGCTGGTGAAGTTAGATCATAATTAAAGCAACGAGTTTTTGTCATACCCTCGACTACCGCGACTACCCCTTGACTAAATATGTAAATTAGCAAGTATGCTAGTAACTGCAGGCAGGAAAAATTCCCTTAGGTGAATACGGAGTGTTTTAAGAAGACGAGACTAATTTTAAATGCCATTTTTTTGTCCCATGTGACACGCAGCGAGCAACCAATAACCAGGCTTCATTCCTCGACTCACTTTTCCCAGCGTATATCGCTTTAATTGGTATTTAATTAACCGGATTCTCTATTCCGTTCAAGGTCACGCAGAAAATGCGGACAGTGCGACGCGCCAACTCAGCCAAAGCCACCAGCATCACAAATCAGTCGGCAACAGCAGCCGTCAATGCCAAAGCAAAGATACTTAAACGCATGGAAATTCACGGTGGCAGCATCGAACGCGAGGCGCCCGAGTCGCTACCAGCGCGCTCGCTAAGTCAACCCAACGGCTTGGATACGTGCGGCATTGGCGGCCGAACAACTGGCGGTAAGTCACACACAAAGGACGAAATTAATTCGAGCAATTTGTCTGAAGTGGAGTTGATTGCGCGATGCTGACGCTTTGATTTCTTTCTTACAGATATGGAAGACAGTGATAGCGATAGCATAACCTCACATGAAGAAGGTAAGTTAAGCAGTCAGTACGTGTGTTGATTTTCGTCTATTTGTTATGCAAGCAGTGACATAACCGACGCGATGACAGCACAATTAAATTCAATTAAAGTCGGAATACACTTTCGACTGTCTACGATTTTAATAAACAAGTAAACAACTTTGTAATGAACTTACACTTAATTGCCTCACTTGCAGCGCCCAACTACTACCCTATTTACGCTGAAGTGTTGTACAGCTTCACGGCGGCCGGTCCCCAAGAGCTCGGTCTCGAACGTGGCACACTAATCGAAGTGCTGCGCAAAGAGGTCGGTCCCTGGTGGTTTGGACGCATACGCAAAGATGATAATAATACGCTAGTCGAAGAGATACTTGACCCCGAACTCGGTTGGTTTCCCAAGGAGTTCGTGCGCGTCATACAGTGCCCCAAAACGGATGTGTTCTTCCTTTCGCAAATGTCGACAAATGGCCCAACAGCGGCACAACAGCAAGCGCCAACAACAAAAAGTAGCAGTTTCAGAAAATTTACAAAAGCAAATACAACAAAAACAGCACCGGCAGAATCGACCACAACAACACCGCAATCATCAATAGTCACAATGACCGCCGACTCCACGGCTGAGTCCACAGTTGCTTGTGATTTGGATGCCACCATTGTGGATGAGAATAACGTGACGACCATTGTGATTGAATCGCCCTCGTATGCTAGCCTCGCCAATGCGCCCAGCAACACTCATTCTCCACCAGACGGTGGCGGGGGTAGTGGCGTCGTCGCAGCAGACTCTTCAAATCCTTCAAATGCGCTGGCTCCATCGCGCAGCATTAATGTGATACTCGACAGCGCGGATATGTTGCGTCGTAGCGCGGTCAAAGAGTTGCTCGACACCGAGGTTAACTACGTCAAATTGTTGGCCGCCATTTGTGAGGGGTGAGTGTTGCGAGATTTTATTTCCTTTTTTATTTTTACTAATGTCTGTTGTGCATTTCTCCTCCGCAGCTATTTGCCGGCAATGAGCAAGCGCATCGATATTTTTTCGCCGAATAGCATTCGTTTGATTTTCTCGAACATCACGGCGATCTACAAGTTTCAGCGTAAATTTCTGGAGGCTTTGCGTAAGGGCATCGAACAGAATCAAGTGGCTAAAGTTTTCTTGAAAATGGTAGGCTGACTTTTTTTTTTTGATCTTTCTTGAGCGGCATAATAAAATATTTACTATTTTTTAATTACAGCACAAGGGTTTTCTCTGCTATTCGACATATTGCAACGCCTATCCACGTGCTCTCATAGAATTGGAGACTTACGATCGCATCAAAGATGCTAGAACCATTTTAGACAAGTAAGTAAAAATAAATTAAGTAAACATACAGTTTGTCAAAGGTTGTAACACTCAGAAAGAAACGTCGATGACGTACCAAGCTGAGTCAATTTAGCTGTCTGTATATACGTTAACTAGATCCGCAGTTTTTGAGATACTGATCTGAAATTTTGCACACTCCTTTTTCACTTCAAGAAGCTGCTCAATTGTCGGAACATACACATAGCTGTAATACAAACTGAACGATCAAAATCAATCAATGTATGGAAACCTTTTTAATTGACGGTGTATCTTTATGAAATTTGGCATAGATTAGGTTTTTAGTAGTTTTTGAAAAAGACCTTTTTTCATATTGACTAAAGCTTTTAAAATTTTTAATATTTCAAAATGATATTGCAAATATTCGATAAAATCGCAATACTAACAATTATTAATAAAAAAATATGTTTTTTTAAGAACGCAGTATTTTAGGTTAGTGGATTTCATAGCTACTTGATATCTGTTTTAAAATGGTATAAACATGGAAATATTTAACTTGGTCTCCATAAATCAATTAGTATTTACGACGCGAAAGGTTTGTCTGACGATTTTTACTTTATCATAAACAGAAGTATTTGAGTGACACAAAGTATTCAGTGCGAGTCATCTATTCACTTCTGTTAATAACGATAGCACGGAAAAAGTCAAAAAAACAGTCGTGAAAATCGTAGTGTTTGACATTAAAGAGATAACAGAGAAACTCAACATCTCTTTTGAATCGACTCAAAACCTTTCAGTGAATGTAATAATGCGCCGAAACCGCAAAAACCAATATTTGCTAAAGGCACCGAGTATGGATCAGGTGTACCCTATATTAGCTCAGGAGCCTATTTTGAAGACAATAAAATGTTTTTGTCAGTCCGATTCAAATTTGATCAGATAATAAATATAATTTTTATAATAGTCTTAAAACGGCTGCAGCCACCTCAATAAAAGCTTACATTTTCTACAAAATGTAGTACCCGTCAGAATAATGTTGATGTTTTTGAGGTTAGGGCAGGATTACCCATATTTATTTTGGTACCCAAATTGTTTAGCAGCAGATTGAAATAAATTGAGTATAAAGCTTAATACCTATATTTTTAACAAATTGTGAGACAATAAAAATCGAGTCAAAAATTTTTTATCCTAAATGTATTTCTTACTAGATTGAATAAGATTACCAAATTTTCTACAGCTCAAACTCCTAACTTGGAGATAAATTCCTGAACTTTCCTTTGAAGTTTATTTGAGTTTATTTACTTTTAAACATATATATATATATTTAACATTATCTTTTACTTATTTCAGTTGCCGCGAAACAGAGAATCTTGCTGAGCTTCCACTCTCCGCACATCTCTTGGCACCCGTACAGCGTATCTGCCGCTATCCGCTACACCTCAGTGAAATACTCAAGGGGGCAGCCAAATGTGGTGAAATGCCCGAGCATGAGTTGGGCGAGTACGAGCAAATAGATGTCAGTCAATTGGATATACCCGATACATATGAGAAAATCGATTTAGCATTGGAGGCAATGCGTGGCATTACAGAGGCGGTGAATGAAGGTGAGTACTCCACGAATTTGTAAACTGATTTATATATGTTTGTTTTAAAATTTCCTACCACTTTCTTGTAGGCAAACGACACAGCGAGACAATTGCGCGACATCAGGCGAGTTTCCAGAACTTCAAGGGCCCACCACTGCATCTGCACAGCACGCGCTTCTTCCTGCAAATCGACGCCACGCGTCAAAAGCAAAATCTCTGGAACAGCAGCTGCACGCTCTTTCTCTTCGACAACCAGCTGATTTACTGCAAGCGCGACATCATCAAACGCAGTCACTTCATTTACAAGGGACGCATCTTTCTCGATCGCTGCCGCGTGGTGAATGTGCGCGATGGCAAAATGTTCGGCCACAATATACGCAACTCGCTGCGCATCTACTGTGAGGCGCGTGACAAGTGGTTCGATTTCAGCTTCCGCTCGGCAAATCGCAAGCATCGCTTCCTCAGCACGTTGGCGTTGGAGCGGCAATTTGGCGGCAAAGCTTTTTATGTCTCCGAAATGACCGGTTTCGAGTATGCATACGATGAGCGCGACTACTCGGATCAATCCGATTACGAGTTGCCCGAGTGCGAAAACAGTAACAGCAGCGGTGGTGGTGGTAATAGCACCGCCGTAGCCGGAGCTGGTGCTGGTTTGTCTGGCGCAACGCGTCACTGGTCCATGGCGGATGTGAGCACAGCAAATGCAGGCGGCGCTTCGGCAACCAGCGGCGATAGTTCGGTGCCGGAATCGCCAGTAAAGCACAAATACTGTGACACTCTGCCGAAGAAATCGCAAACACGTGATGCTTGTGGCGGCAGCGGCACGGTAAGCGAATGTCAGACGGGCTCACTGGGACGCCGACGTTTGGGTAATTGGTTCCGCAAACCGAAGAGCAGCAATTCAACGCCAAATCACTCGCCCACGCATAAGGCCAACGAGCTGTCGGCGAGTCTGGTGGGCGGCAGTGAGAATAATATATCGATTAATTTGGGTAGCGGTAATTATATATCGTCGGGCTCGTCGGCATGAATTTTAGGGTGTGAGTCAATAAAAAAAAATTTAAAAATTAAAATAAACAATTTTTAATAAATGCAATTACACGTAGCGCGCATTTTACGGCAACCGTGCGAGCACACATACATACGTAGAGTTGTTATATAATCAAAAATGCAAATATTGGAATGAAATGCAAGCGAAATTTTGCGTACCCACTGTGCAACTATGTATTTGTTCTATAAAAGTCAATTATGTATGCAAATACAGGTGATTGCTTTTGTTATTGTTTAAATTTTTATAAAGAAAATTTGCAAAAAAAAAATACTTCTTCAAAGCGAAGTGATTTTATTACACGACACAAGCAGCGCGAAATTTCAATAAAAATCTGGTGGTGATTTCCAAAAATTTTACAATTAAAAAAAAAACTAAAATAAAAAAAAAATTGTAAAATTATATGGCAACCATGCATAAAATAGTCAGCTCATGTAGTAGTCATTATAAATAAACTTTACATTATTTAAAAATTGTTTGTGTATAGGTTTCGTTGTGTAGTGGTCACATGTGTATGAACGTATACTGTATAAGTGAAAATTTCCAAACATTGCGCTGAATATTTCAAAGCATTAGTAGAGTAAATTTTACAAATTTTCTAAATGAACGTCACTTTTATGCCAAACTGTACTCTACTACCCCGATTTCCTATATAAAATTGAAAGCCGTAGAAAATTTAAGCGAAAATAAATGACATTGAAAAAAATGAGTGTTAACATGAAAAAGCAATTGTTTAGCGAGAACAAAAACAAACGTTTATTGTTTAAATAGAAGTAGAAATGTAAGTGCACACACACATACATACATTTACTATATACATATATAGATATACAAATATGCAATAAAAAAGTGCACACATACATATACCAAACACAAAACCACAGTTACAGTTATGTATTATGGCATATTATTGAAGGAAAGTACTAAAACAAAAAATATAAAAATTACAAAAATAAAAACAGCAACTCAACAACAGTTACAACGCCGATGCGAATTGTATTAAATTTGTTTAACGTTAAAGTTCGTTATTAAAAAACGTTTAATTTAATGAAAAAAAAAATTAAATTAAAAATACTCGGCGTTCAAAGCCAAACATTATTTTATGAATGTATTTTATAAATAAATTTATATTTTATAAAACAAAAAATTAAAAGGTTTTATAAAATATTGTAAATACAAGAAAAAAAGCTGTTTACATAGAAGAAAGCGTTGTTTGTATATTAACCTAAGTGTAAGTTATGCAAATGTAATAGTTTTATTGTTAAAACAAAATATAATTTATAAAAAAAATTTAAAACTAAAAATAAAAAGTTAGAAATTGAAAAATAAAAAAAAATAAAATATTATATAAAAAATTAAAAATTAAAAAAATAAAAAATTTAAATATAAACATTTAAAAAAAAATAAAAAATTTAAAATAAAAAATTAAAATATAAACAATAAAAAGTTAATTATAAAAATAAAAATGAAAATGAAAAATTAATAAATTTAGCAACTATACTCGAACCAATTTCGAAAACTAGAAAGTCTGTAACTGTAAAAGTAACAAATAACCAATTAATACACGTTATTATTATTTATTTATTATTTTATGTAAAAAAAACTAATTTAACAATTTGCTGTTGTAATTTTTTATTAATTTTTAAGTTTTCGCTTCAGTTAAGTTGCTTATTAATAAAAATTAAAAAACATATACTCACGCAATAAAACAAAAGACTTTTATTTATGCAAAAAAAAAATATTTTTAATTTATTTATATGAAAAAAAAATAATATTAAAAAGGTGTACGAAATTTAATTTAAATTATAAAAAATTTAATTTAAATTATCCAAACTACAAACGGTCTAAAACAGTAAACTATAGCCACTAGTGAATTTGATGAGAGCAAGAATTGAACACTAGCTATTAGCAAACAGCACAAAAGCAGCAATATGCATACATACAAATAGCAAATACTTAACAAACACAAAAACAAAAAATATTGAACCAAAAAAAATTTTCAACAAAAACCAAGTTTTTCAACAAAAAAAAACTTCAACAAAAAAATTCACAAAACAAAAATTTCACAAAAAATATATTTAACAAAAAAAAAATGACATAAACAACAACAATAAATCCACAGTTAAACAACAGCAAAAATTAACAATAATATAACGGTTAAGCGTATACGTTGCACTGCAAAACATTTTAACTGCGTTGCATCAAGCACACAACACACACACGCACGCATTTTTTTGCAGCAACAATTCGTTTAGCATTTGCAGCATTTTACAAAAATAAAAAGCAAAAAATAACAATAAATATAAATAAACCGTTAAGCCAATGAAATTCAATACAGCGCCACAATAGAGTAAATATTTGCAGCAATAATTAATGGAAAGGATTAAAAATAAAAACAAAAACAACAAATGCAACACGGCAACCTACCCACAGTATTTACTTAATTGTTAGAGGCAAAAATACACGCATATACTATAAGTATATAAATGAATAAGTATACCATATATATACACACACACACTCACGCATATATGTATTTGGTAATAAATATTTGAAATGAAAATAATCTTTGCAATGGAAGAGAAGTGCTTACAAATCAGATTAGCATAAAAATCGGTACGACAACAAAAATTTCAACTAAAAAATACGGTATACAGCATAAAATTGGAAACACTAAAATGTTTTCAAATTCTGAAACTTTTACACAAATTTAAAGGACCCTAATATTTTATTATTATTTATATATAATATTTTGCTGATTTTGGTTGGCTCTTTTTTTGAGATTAGACATAATTTTACTCAAATTTTTATTATGAAGTTAGGATATGTCTGCTTGAAAAGAGCAAGTAAAGACATTCGATAATGTTTTTGAAGAGAGGCATGAAAAATTGCAAACCATCGTTTACGCTTGTAGGGCGAAAAGTTTTGATATAATAATGAAAAAACCTTTTTTTTTTATGAAAATCTAGTTTGAGTTCTCCAGCTGAAGTTAATGTATTTGTTGTAACAGTTCGCTTACATTTCAAAAACGGTTCGATAGTATAAAATTTTTAGGCCTTCAAATCAGGCGTTTATTTCCAACTTGACTTCCTCTTTTGAGTGAAATCTTTTTATACCGAGCCACCCTTTTGAGTCTAAGTAGAAAAATGGAAATAGTCAGTGTGAATCGAATCTTTCGGTCTTTCGTCGATGAGTTACGACGAAAATCAGCCTGTACTTGAAAGTAGATATGCTGCCGCAAATTTGCCATAACAGGCACTATTGCACTATCCCTTACAGCCTAGATCTTTTGGGGTCGTCCGAACTATACAAGCATCTCTCAGTCTCTTTCGAAAACTACCAGCGTCGATGCAAACGATCTTGTCAAGTTCCGACCTTCTGCACGATATTTTTGTGAAACATTATCTTTGGAACACAATAAATAACTTTTTTCACAACATTTGTACGAACTTATTTCAAGCTAAGCAACTTCCAGGATCAATTTGGACACTTTACTAAACGCAAGTAACTCTACAGTATATTAAAGCCTAAGGAAGAGTTATTTTGGCATCATTTCCGCAGCCATAAGACAGATCTCAAGATAATTCAACTTAACAAAGACACTAAATTTGAATAACTACTGATCGACTAACTCGTTTTCCTTTTACTCCTACCATAAGTTTATTAGATCTGCCATTATATAAATTAATTGAGTGTTAATTAAGCAAAAAATCAGAAAAACTGCTTGGAAAGCAATATTTATTATATTATAAGCAAAACGTTAGGATTTCTCGAATTTAATTATAAATAGAATACAATGTAGACATTATGATGTCCATTAAGCAACTGATCGACAGCACGCTTATTGCAATTTTGTATACCTAAGTATGAATCAAATTAATTAATTAAGTGTTGTATTTGTAACACAAAATTCTGCAATGCCTTCGCTAAAACGCAGAAATCCAGTCGTCGCCAGAACCAGACAGGAAATGAAAGAACTTTGTTACAAATACAACAAACTACTAAGCGCCAATGGCAGTTACTAAGAATTGATTAAAAAATTTAAAAATTTTATTATAAGTTTAAGCAGCATTAGAAAAAATTTCAATTAAGCACTAATGAAAATTAACAAAAACGCCAACATTTAATAACTAATTTAAGCAATTCACTATATAATATGTTAGTAGACCCATATGTATAGTTATACTTATATACTAAATTAATGTTTAAGTAGTTTTCTCTAGTTCACGTAATAAATTGTTATTTGAAGAAGAGTAATGAAAAGTAAATACTTAATGTAAGATTTTGAGCATGGAATATAGGATCCATGGTTGAAGAATTGTCTGAAGGATGTCTTAAACTACTGGCAAAAGTAATCTTCTTTCATACCAGAAGCTTTAACGCAACTGATTTGATAACTTTAGAGCCCCCTTTGCTGAAAGTAAACAATGCTTTCCAAGCGTCCCCACAAAATGCCTATTTTACTATAAGATCAAATTTGACGCGGACTGAAAAAAACAACATTTTCAGATCATCGAACATGCACACGCTGCATATCCAAAACACTAACCAAAATGTGTTGAGTCGATTCATAAGAGATGTTTAGATCCACTGCATTCTCTCCGATGCCAACACGACCATTTTCAAGCATTTCTTTCACCGATACACACACGCACACATTCAGTTGTAGAGAAATGTATGTATAGACAAATATAAGTAGATCGCCGACTGATTGTAAGCAATTCTTAAAAATTAGTTGAAAAATTAGCAATACAAAAACAAAATATGCTCTCACCAACCATAGTTTCTGCTATTTACAGCCGTACATAAATACATATATACACACTTGAATATAAATATACATAGATATGTATACGTTATACTATAGGTTACTAAAACTTCTATATGCATATGTAATTATATAAAAAAATATGAAAAATGTATACATATATATATATATACGAACAAAGGATATGCCAAATAAAACGATAAAAATATTAAATAATTCACATTGTTGTTTTACTTCAAACAAACAATGGGAGTGTGGTTAGATTCATTTTTCCAACAGTCAACAATAACATCGGAATGGACCCGTATGCAGCCTCAACTCAACAGCGCTATACAAAAATAGTTGGCAAATAAATATTTTATTCCACAATGGCTTACTAGCAAATTCGATTTTCCTTACAGTTATCGGGTCTACGTAGTGGGAACGGACTCGGATTTTACCATAACCGTCAACTCGGTAGCATTACTCAAAATTAATTTAAAAATATTTTCTGTCATTACAAAAATTTGGTTACGGTTATGGAATCATTGATAGTGTTGCAGAACTTATTTAAATTTAATCTGGCCTAAGACTAACGCGAAGAAAACTAAATCATGCAAACTTTCAAGCTTTCAAGGTCACTCAAACTATTATTCCTGGGACTTAACTTATGTAAACAAATCGACGTTAGATGACGTCAGCTAGTATTTGTTTTGACCATCAAATAAAATCACAACTGTTACAACAGCAACAACTCTAATGAACTTAGGGCTTCGTTGAAATATTTAAAATAAAATATTAATGATTTTAGGACCAAACAAAAAATCAAGAGCCCTAAGTACGAAATGAAATAGAGTATACATGACAACATAACGTATACGAGATATTTAAAAATTAAGACGCACCCTTATAAATAGAATACAAAATGATAATATATTATATGTATGTTTATACAAGTACATTTCAGAATGCCACACAAAGCCGAACTGCATCAGCTATTTTAAAACAAAATATACGATAATATGTTTACATACATATGTATGTATGTACATTGTAAATATATAGTTATTCAACCGACGTAGAGGCTAGCGAATGACAACAAATAAAAGTAACTCCGTCATGCTAATGCACTTTTAATAAGGCTGTTACAATTTTACTTACATATGTACAATAAGCATCACCCTTACTTCTTCATAGTTTACTTATGTATATGCTTTCCATTTGTATGTAATAGCAATCAAATCAAACTACTTACCAATTAATTTTTAAAACCATGCTTTTGCTCGAGCTCCCACAATGCCCAGCACATCGTAAGTGCTTGAATGTGCATACATATGTATGTATGTATATTACAGTTAGACATATGCACTGCGCCGCAATCGCGAGTGCATTTAACAAAAACACCTGACAATCAACAGGAATCTACAGGCAACGACTTGCACAACAAACTTATCTCACTTTACTCACTACACTTTGTTTTTATTGGAATTTATTGAACAACAGAGAAATTTACCGGCACATATTTGACAATAAATAAGCATAAATATAAACTCAAAACTTAATTTAGTTATTGAACTACAGAGAAATTTACCAGCACATGTTTGACAATAAATAATAATTAATATTAACTCAAAACTTAATTTAATTACACTTCTAAACACCTGCAATACCAAGCCTGCACGATCACTAGAACACGAGATGTGTAAGAGAACATAAACATTACAAGAATCAGGTGATATGTCAAAAACGATAATCAAAAGCGAAGCATTAAGACTTCAAATCGCGCTAAAAAAAAACAAATTTGCTACAAGGAATATTTCCATAAATGCCGCCACGCATTTGTACATATGTGTGGCTGTAGTATTTAAATATGTACAAGTATGTATATGTATGCATTTATTGAGCAATGTTGGCACGCAAAAAGAAAATTAATGCAACAACAACAAACCAGGTAGAAATATTACAAATAAGAATGGGGAGAAAGAACAATGCGTTTCTGTTACGCTTAATATTACTTATTGCAAATATATAGAATATAATCTATCTCTCTATTCTACTTGTATGTAACTATGTATCAATTTATGCACATACTATATACTTAACATATGCTTTCATAGGTAAATTTACCGCATTGGAAATTTTTATTTGCCTAATTCGTGAAGTTCTTTTTAACCTTCTTGGCTTTTAAGTGAATTTCAGGCATATACTCGTATGTACATTAATACATATGCACCTACACACATATATACACAGATATATTATGTAGGTATATACAATTGCTGCCAAAGTATGTAATTGCTTCCGGTTTGATTTAATTTATTTTACTTATTTGTGCGAATTCCGCTCAGCCGCAACAAGCGGATGTGAATAAACTCACAAACCCGCAAAAATACAAAAGAATGAACGAAAACTTATACATACATACAAAAAGCATACAACTAATTCACACATACATGCATATAGCTACATCTGGACGAACGAAGTCGAGCAAAGCGCTGAATGCACAAGAAAAATCAGATTAACGTTAGAGAAAAATCAGGAAAAAGAAGAACGGAAACATTGAAAGTGACCAAGCCAGTTTGTGCAACGCAAAGTCAAGTGGAAGTATAAATGTATTAAAATTTGTGTTTGCAACAAAAAGTTTATAAAATTAATAAAAAGTGTATAAAATTGGCACAATACAGTTAAATATTGCTTTATAAGTGTGCAAAGATCGAAATCATGACCAGATATTTGGTAAGTACACAGAATGGCGCTTGGAAATAGTTTTGACAAAATACGTTTCTTCGCCATTTCCGTACTTTGTCGACATTTGCAAAGCATTATGGCATTTCCACGACACAGTGTCGCATTTGTTGGTACTTGCGCCACTAGTTGCACTTCCGTTGAAAGCAACTAAAGCGCTGCTACTAATTTTTTAATTTCGGTACACCAAACAATTTTTTTAATAAATATTTTGTGAGTAATTCACATAATTAAAATTATAATTAAAATTGTTTATCAACCATGTGATGATTATATTTGACAAATATAAATAAAATGATAAAAAGAGCAAAAAATATTAAAAAATAATATTATAAAAAAATTTTAAAATAATATTAGTAATAAAAGTAGTAACAATAAAAAAAATTAAATATAAAGTACAATCGAGTCGCAAAGCATTATCACATACATATATTTGTAATTTATCAAAATTTTAATGAAAATGTACTGAGCCTTATCAAGAAGCAGGAAAATTATTTTGTACAATATTATCACATACCATTAAGTTGTAATATTATGCAAATTTCATATAAAAGCAATTAAAAGTTTACTTGCGAAAATACTTTTTATATATTATTTTTGAATTATGTCAAGTATCAACTTTTAAATCAAAATATTTACAATCATTTTAACATTTAAAAAAAATCAAAAGGCAATAATATAAAATGCAACCCTGTGGTGATTGTTGTTGTTGTAGGTATTTTGTTTTTATCCACACTTGGTCAACGAAGCAATACCACAAAACGAATCGACGCGAACGAAGTGACGGAAAAGAAAAAGCTTGCTCTTTTTGTACGTGCGCCTTGTTTCCTTTTCCTTTAATTTTAATTTTGTTTTTGATAAATTCAACAAATTCCAAATGTTTTCACAGATTACAATATACCAGCGTTAATATTCGAGTTTGTCGCACACTCTTAGGACGTTCGAAGCAAAAGGCATAGTGAAACGAACGTGGAAAATGGTAGGCGGCGGTGGCGGTGGCGACAATAAAGTTGTGGCCACTTTACGAGCGGATGGAAGTGTATATCCTGCAAGTGGCACTTCCATTGGACAATTAGTGAATTTAATGAATTATAAAATTGTAAGTTTAACTTCTGTTAACCGTGGTGCGCCATTCCTTAACCATTTCTATGCTTCTATTTGTTGCAATTTTTAACTTGGTACTACAGCGTACGGAAGTGGATGTCAGCAATAAGGCGCTCAATACATTCAGTGTACCAACAACCGTAGTGGACTTGGGCAAACAACTGCTACAGTACGCGCGTGACGGTGATCTGAAGGGTGTGAAAAATATGTTGTCGCGCGGAGCACCATTCACCTCAGATTGGGTACGTATTATGACTGCCGGTGTGCTGGTCGGCTTGGCAAATTACTTGATGGATAATATAATAATATTTTATAATTTTATTTATAGTTGGGCATGTCTGCGCTACATTTTGCAGCTATGAATAACCAATATGACGTTTGTGACGCGCTTTTAAAGGGCGGCATCAATAAGGACTCGAAAACAAAAGTAGATCGTACACCGCTGCACATGGCGTGCTTCTACGGCAATGAACGCATAGTCGAGCTGCTGCTAGCCAAGAAATGCATAGTGAATCCTCGAGATATGGTATGTTGTTTGTGAAGTGTTGTGATGTTGCACCTAAGAAATTTATTTGCTTATTTCCTTTTGGTTTTTAGTTGCGCATGACACCTTTGCATTGGGCTGTGGAGAAAGGCCACAAGTCGATTGCGCGTCTGCTGCTTAAGCACAATGCTGATGTGACGGTTACTTCCAAATTTGGCAAAACACCCATCGCTCTGGCAGTGCTGACAGAACAAGCTGACTTACTCGAGGAATTGGAATCTGCACGTCAATCGCAAATCAACCGCAAATATAATGAGGAGCATGAGGTGAGCATAAGTTCCAGCTAATAATGTTGTGTGCTGTTAATTGTTGCACTTTCGCCTGCAAAACATTGAGTATTACATATAATACGCTGTTATATACAGAAATATGTATATTTTACAATTTCTACAAAGAAAATCGCTTAAAGTTTTAATTTTGTTTGTGCTTTTCTATTACAAATACGCGTGCATTCATACTACTTATGCTAAAAAAAAAAATCATAAATATGCTCACAGGTGCGGGCCAAGCGTTTCAAAGTAGGTATACAAGTTAGCTTGTTTAGATATATGTATGCCATTTCGATATTAGTTTGTTTTTGTGCGTATTATTAACAATTTGGCCGAAGAAATTCTTCAAAATTTAACTAATAATTTCTATTAGTCTACTTTTCTAAATTTTTGTTAGTGCTATTGTATATATATATCTATTACAAATGTAAAAAAATCATATTTGATATATTTTAATGAAATGCAACGTTACAGAAAGAGACTTCGGATGCAGTGAACTCCATAATGGGTTTGGCAAATTTTAGCGCGGAGGAGGCGACGAGTTCAACGAAAATCACATTGGAAGTTGATGATGATCTAACAAATAATAGCGACTACGCTGAGTCCAAAATATCCGATTTGGCGAACATTAAGGGTATTTATTTTTATAACAAACAAAATTATGTAAACTTTTTTTCTTTATTACACTAATTTACCACTAGAAACTGGCGTTTTGGACAAGACCACTATCAATATGTTGAAGGACCATGGCATTTCCATGATGCCGGAGGACGAAGATACTTCAAAGGAGCTGCTTGCCACTGCCTTGCAAAATGGTCGTCAGTTGGTGCTGTCCGAGGGTGGCAAATTGTTGCTTAATGAGACTAAAAAAATACATAACAATAATAATAACGGTAAAAGTGCCTCTAGCAGCAGTGGAAATACGAATTCCAACACCAGCAATGTGCGAAATTATACAGTCTTGCCTGTGCGCGGCACGCTAGCATCGCGTACGCAAAATTATAAAGCGCGAGCGAGCATCATATCGAAAGCGAAAGATAATCTCAATATGTACAAGGTTAGTAGAAGCTCATAAGCGTTTGTAAAAGCAATAAAAATTCTAGTGCAAGGAACTGCATGTGCTTACTAACACCCACAAATATATATATAAATAAATATAATTTTACAATTGTTTGCATATTTGAAATTTAAAAAAATATATTTATTTTCTCTCTTATAGAACGTGCGCATCATTTCACTAAACGATTTTAAAAAGTTTTACGGCAATACAAACATCAAAGGCGTGCAAAAGATACCTGCTTCCATGGCGAGGTAATCAAGTCCATATAAATTTTATATCTTAATTAGAGCTCTTCTCTATTTGTAGTGAACGTTTGGCGCGTATAAGACAAATTAGCGAAGAACAACGAACACTTAATCCTGGTAATCGTCAGGTTTACACCAATACACGCACATTAGCACAGCGACAGGTATTTTCAATTACTAAGTCAATAATAAATGTCAATGTTCTTAAATAAACGCTTAGATTTTTGTAAACAAACGTTTATTGTGCGCTTAATTTATTTGTCGTGTGTATTTATTTAGTTATTTTGGTTTTTTTAGTTATTTATTTTTAATATTTTACAAATTTCTTCTCTCAGCTGTTTAACCATAACCTAAAATTGTGTCTCTTTTGCAGTTAAAATCTGGCCAAACAGTAGTAAAAGCGGAGCAACCGTCGACTATAATAGCCGAGGACGATGATATTGACTCGATAATACAGCTGGCGCCAACCGATAGTGATACCGAATTGTCGGACAGTGAACAAGCACAGCAGCAGCAGCAGCAGCAACAAAATCAAATACAGCAAAAAACGACAAGCATCAGCGTACAAGGCACTAAACAATTGTTAAATATCGCTGCGCCGCCCATAATACGTCAGTTGACGACCAAGCAAGGCACACTGGTTGGCACTAAACTCAACACGTCCGGCGGTGACGCTGTCAAGCCACAGACAGGTTCCACTGTCATATCTTTGCTTTCGGTGCCGGAAATATGCCGCCAACTATACGAGCTGCGTCGGCAAAACGATGATTTAAAACGCAAATTCGATGCAGCACAGAAGGAGAAGGAGGAGATGCGTCAGCGTTTGGATCGTTTGGAGGAGCTGTTGCTGGTGGAGAAGACGGATGATGGCTATGTGGATACCTAGTGGTAGCCGCCGGTAATATGTCGTTTAGTTAGTGGTATTTTTTTCATTTCTTCCATTTTTATTTAATTGAAAGTATTTTTTAACAATACAATATAAACACACACACACATATAGAAGTGTTGTTGTGTAATGATCATTAGAGTTGAAGCGCCTTTAATTGAATGTCATGGCATTCGCAGTATGCATTCGTTAACTAAACTATAAATTTAGTAAAATAAGTTATGCGCTCGCTTGCAATATTGCGAAATATGGCATTGTGAGCATTATTCATAAATAAGTTGAACTACCATTTAATTTAATTTTTAACTGTAAATATTTAATTATATGTTTTTCTTAACATAAAACAAAAGCAAAGCGTTGCACTTCGCCACTGAATGAGTAAGCTCTAAAAGTTGTATGCTATATATTCAATTAATTTCAATAAGCACCAGTGTTCTACACACTTTAATCTTTTCGAATTAAAAAAACAATCAAAAACAAAAAAAAAGTCAACAAATTAATATTTTGAATTAATATGATGTTTACGTATTGCTGTTACTTTATTTTGTTATTGTTAACCAAAATAAAGCAAGAGAAAAAATACCTACACAAACATGTTTAATATCTCACAAATTGTTAATTCTTTAAGATTTTTATATTTTTCTAATGACAATGTGAAATACAAATGAAGCAATGTTTGAAAAACACTTAAACATAAAAAATAATTATATGAAAAAAAATAATATAAAAAAAGTTTTTATATATGTAAAAAAATAACCAATAGCAATTTTCTTGTATGTACATATATATGAAGTCAAAAAGCGAAGTAATAATTTTGCATTAATGCATAGTTTATAAGAAACGCAAATAACAAAAAAGTGAACATTTAAAATAACATGCATACTACAAAATCGTTTTAAAAATATGTAAGTGAGTTTATGTTATCTCGTAGTTTGAATTAATAAAAAAAAACAAAAAAAACATTTTGTAAAATGTTAAAACAATGCTAAGCATTTTGGTATATGCGTAAACATTTTGAATAGACCGAAGTGAAAACTTTTAAAGTGGAAATAATATTACTCTGCATCATTGTGGCTATGGAGTATCAATTAATGTCGGTTTTGTTGTTCTCGCTGTTAAATTCCAGAAAGGAGCAAGTTTTAATAAGCATCTGAAGGAGTGCTAATCCTCTAATGCAAATACAGTGGAGTTTTTGAGAGTTCGGTATAACCGGTTGTTGTTGTTGTAGCGGCAGAATTTTGTCCAGTTGACAGTACTTGACCGAAAAAAATCCGGGTCCGTTCCGGTTACGTAGATCCGACCGTTATGGGAACGGTATTGGTGAATTATGTACATTTTCTCACATAAATGGTATTTTAAAGGCTTGTCGATTCCAAAGACTTTATTTTCCTTCGGACCCAAAAGTTTTGTTGTTTGTATAGTTGTTGAGATAGTACTTGATATTTTATACAGTTATTCAAAGTTCCTATTGTCCGACTTTGCTATTGTTGTCGTTGTAAGGAAAATGCTTTTTTACATGCCAATTTACTATTTAAAATATGTTTTAAACAATATTAAATCAAAATATTTGTAATGGGTTAAAATAGTACTACATTACCGACCAAAGCAGTCAGCTGTGCACTTCTATATAGTTTTTTTTTGACATTTCTTTTATTTAAGAGCCGTCACCAAAACAAATCAAGTCACACGTGTTTGAAGCTACGTATTTTTGCGGAAAAACATCATAAAGACGCTATTTAATAGAAAATAAATTTCCGAAATGGTAATATTTTTTTAAAACTTCGAAATTCAATTTGTAGAAAATTTGTTATATAATTTACAGGGTAAGAAACACGACGACATAGACTTACCCGGCTTTCCATCGCTGGATAATGTTGGGGGTGGTGAGAATACGGAGAAGGGTAAAAGCAAGTCTAAGAAAAGCGGAGGCTTCCAATCGATGGGACTTTCCTTCGGCGTGATAAAGGGTATAACGAAGCGTGGCTACAAAATACCGACACCAATACAGCGGAAGGTAAATTATTAATTGTGACAAAATTACAACAAACAATTTAAATTTACATATATTTATGTATTTGCGCATAGACCATACCGTTGATACTTGAAGGCCGTGATGTTGTTGCGATGGCTAAAACTGGCTCGGGCAAAACTGCTTGCTTTCTTATACCCATGTTCGAAAAACTTAAGAGCAGGGAACCCACTAAAGGCGCTCGTGCACTTATACTCTCGCCCACACGTGAATTGGCTGTGCAGACTTACAAATTTATCAAAGAACTGGGACGTTTTATGGATTTGAAAACAATTTTAGTGCTTGGTGGCGATTCTATGGATTCGCAGTTTTCAGCTATACACACTTGCCCCGACATTATAGTTGCTACGCCAGGTCGTTTTTTGCATTTGTGTGTTGAAATGGATTTGAAATTGAATTCAGTTGGTGCGTGAAAATATTCTACACACTTTTTTATGCTAAATGTTACTAATTTTCCTAAAATTTTATTCCTTCAGAATATGTGGTGTTCGATGAAGCAGATCGTCTGTTTGAAATGGGGTTTGGCGAACAACTGAATGAAACATTGCACCGTTTGCCAGCGTCCAGACAAACCGTACTCTTTTCGGCAACTTTACCTAAACTCTTAGTTAATTTTGCTCGCGCAGGCTTAAACGATCCAGTTTTGTTGCGTTTAGGTAAATATATAGTTTTTTTTTTTTGTTTTGGTCAAAATCACTGCTCAGTTTATTAAAATTCTATCTACAGATGTTGAGTCAAAATTGCCGGAAGGCTTAATGCTTAAATTCTTATACTGTCGGCCGGACGAACGTTATACCGCTTTAGTTGTGTTACTCAAATATGTAATACCGCAAGATGCACAAACTGTAGTCTTCGCTGGCACACAACATCACGTTGAATTGATATGCTATGTAAGTAAATACTGAGTTGATCTTATAAAATATAAAATCATTAATTAATTCTGCACTTAGATCCTCACCAAATGTGGTATTTCCAACACGGCAGTGTATTCTAGTTTAGATCCCACAGCACGTAAAATTAACACAGCCAAATTTGTTAATAAGAAAGTGTCTGTTCTAACTGTAACCGATGTGGCGGCGCGTGGTATCGATATACCGAGCTTGGATTATGTGGTAAATTTACATTTCCCTGGAAAACCGAAATTGTTCGTACATCGTGTCGGTCGTTGTGCTCGTGCCGGGCGCACCGGCACTGCCTTTTCAATATTTTCCACTGATGATGCTGCGCATGTGCTCGATTTGCATTTATTCTTAAATCGTCCATTCAATATAAATGACGACAAAGTGGTGGGCATTGCGCCGCAGGAGTTAATGGAGGAGGAGCATCTGTCTGTGACAGAAGTTAAGAACAGTCATGATATTGTAAGTGATAAGAATTTTGACAATTTTAGTAGTGATATTCAAAGTATTTTCTGTTTGCTTAGGCTGGTGTACTACGTACAAGTGAAAACGCATATAAAAAATATTTGTCGTCGCGTCCTGTGGCCTCAGCAGAATCTAATGCGCGCATTAAGAAAATCAAATTTTTCAGCTGCAAAAACTTAGACGATTTTCTAGCAGCGAATATATCGCTGCGACAATCGCAAAGCGCAAATAGCGAAAATGACAGCAGGTCAAAGGAAGATTTGGTGGCTGAAGATCGTAAAATACAGAAGGAGAAGCATGATTTGTTATTAAAAATGCGGAATTTTAAGCCCTCTACTGTGAGTAATGATAAAGAAATTCTTAAGTAATTATAATTTTTTTTCTTACTAAATTTGATTTGTATACACTTCAGACCATTTTTGAATTGAATCGCAGCCAAAAGTCCCTACCATTTACTATAATGAAAAACAAACGCTCCATGCATACGAATGTCATTGAAAAATACAGAAATAGGATGGATGAAATCGAAAAGGAGGAAGCTAATAAGCAGCTGGAAGCAGATGAAAAGGAAGAGGTATGTAAATGTTTATTTTTTATACAACATAAAAGCATGTTTCACTTACATTTATTATTTTAGGTTGATGAAGCAGATGCAGATGAAATTACTGAGGCCTTTCATAAAATTGTTGCACCAAAGAAACGCAAAAACCTCGAGGATCTTTATAAAGACAAGAAGAAGAAAAAGAAGAAGACACATGCCAAGGATAATGAAAATTATATACCTTACCAGTCGGCGGATAAACACACCGAGGACGGTCTGGCGATCAACTCTTTTGAGCGTCAAGCTATGAATGCTGAATTTTCCGTAGTCGATCGTGATAATAGCTCAGATTTCCGCCCCAAGTCGGGCATGAAGAAGTGGGATCGTATCAAGAAGAAAATGGTTTCTGTGCAAGATCCACGCGCAAACAAAATACGCACCGAATCGGGGGCCTGGATTCCGGCCTCTTTCAAGACCGGCCGTTACACGAATTGGAAAGAAAAGTCCAAAATCGAAGAGCAATTGCAGCGTGAAAATGGCAGTGACGATGATGGTGTCAAACCATTGTCTCGTGAAAAACGTTATCCGGTTGGACAGCATGCGCGCCATAATGCCAAGGTGGCTGCCAAGAAATATGCAGGCGGTGACAATGAATTGCGGCATCCGGAGCAGATCGTAAAGGCGCGCATGCGTTTGGAATTCATCAAGAAACGTAATACTGAGAATGCGTTGCGTAAAACAGAAAATAGAAAACGTAGTATGCGTAAGAATCAACGTGGTAAAGTAAAGAAAGGTGGCAAAAAGTAGGTGGTTATTATTCAAGCGTTAAGTTAGAAAATTATTGTGCTTCGTATATTAATAAAAATGAAATAATAAAACTTAGTATTTCATTTGCTTACAACCGTTTCTAATTGTTATTGAAACATTGGTAACTCTAAAATATCAGCTGTTCATAAATTGTCACCAGGTGTCGCGCTGCTGCTATCAAATGTAAATTTTATTTTGACATTATGTAGTTGTGTGGGAATACTTGATTTTTTATTTCATCCTGAGTTGAAGTACTTCTGTTTCGGCATAAATTAATCAAATTCGACAAAAATACGTCCAAAGCATATAGTGGCTCCCAACAGTGATAACGTACTTCGGCACCGCATAATATAATATAACAAAAACGCGAGTATTCCTTCTAGCTGTCTTTAAGTAATCAGCATGTGAAGCATATGTGTAGTATTCAAATCTTTCGCAAAGAAAATAAAATTACAAGTGACAAAAAAATAAAACCTACTAAATACGAGGTCAAACAATAACACCGCGACGTAAATTGGTAGTGAAAGTATTTCGAGTGCTATATATTATATCATTTCGGAACTAACAACAAACAATGATAGCTACGTAAAATAATATTTTAAATTAATTTGTTACTAAAATCCATTATCTGCCCTGTCTGAAGTGTCTGCGTGTGTAATTCAACATAACTGTGTTGGTTGAAATAACCACCCCAATTTTATATTAAGAGCCGTTGCGCACAAAACGGCGGCTGCTGAATCATGCGGCCATCGTTCTTTGTTGAAAATTGGCAAATAATTTGCTTTGTGTTTGTTTAATTAATATCAATAACCCAAGTAATTCGAATTTTGCGCGCACGTTAATTATAATTGCAAATATTTTGCAAAATTTCTAGTAAATATAGTATAGTACATATTTGTGTAAATTATAGCAAGACAGTGCGTCAAAAAAAAAATAACATAATATAAAGCAAAATGGATAGTTCAATGGTTTTCGGCGTGTTTCGAAATTTAACCTCAAGTGCATTGGATGCCAATAGCGCTGTGGCGGACATGGATTCGGAAGATTTGGATACCATGTTTTCAGCTTCCCCTACACCAGCTGCTTTGAAAACCAGTACGACTGCGGCACCGGACACCGATCCGTCTGTGTCAATGAATAATTTCTATCCTGCTTTGGTACAATGTTTCGGCATCATTATATGTGGGTGAGTTAAACTAGTTGGCATAAATCGGTGCTAAAAATGAAAGTTAAATACAATCGGAGGGTAGTGGGTTTAGTATTTTACACCCACGTCTACGTTAAATATTCTAAAACCCTAAAGAGATTGTTACAACATTCAACTGCATATACACATTATTTCGTTTACTATATTAATAAAAAAATTACATGAACGTAATAAAAAAATACTACATTTTTATCAAAATTGTAATAATGCCAAGTAGGTGATTAATCTTCTTTATAAAAATTATCAATGAATTCAATATTAAGCAAGTGTTTTCCGTGAAAGGGGTTTTTGTCTGAAGTGATTGTACTTGATAAATATATTTTCTTTTTGAAGTGGGTGTTTGACGCAGATATGCTTAGTATAATATTATAGCATGTGTCAAAAAAAACGTACAGATATGTCGCAGATAACCAAATTATCTCGTACGTGACTTATAGTATAATTTAAAAAAATATATATAATTTTGAAATGAAAAAAATATTAAAAGAACTTATTATTATTACTATTGTTTGTAATAATAACGCAATGCATACTTGTAATAGAAGACTTATAAAAAGTGACAGGTTGATAAATTGTCAAATTCGTACCGTTTGGTTTAAATTGCAAAGAATTTTCAATAAAATCTTGAAGTTATGGTTTTTCCAACGTTCGATATTATATTAGTTATTTGAATTCTAAGTAAATAATTCCCTCATTATAAAATATGTGTGATATTTTTTTTTTTACTTACAAATAAAACAAAATAAAAAGTCTGTATTAATTAGTAAACGTTAATAACATATGTTCAGTATTTATAGGCAAACAGTAAACAACAACAATAACAAAACGTTAACCTCAGCTGCACCGAAGCTATAATACCCTTCACAAATTGGAAAGTTTCCACAGAAACACTTGATTTTGATCGTTCAGTGTATATGACAGCTATATGTTATAGTCGACCCAAATCAGCGGTTCCGCCAAATGAACAGCTTCTTGGGGAGTAAAGAACGCTGAGATAATTTTTTCTTTCAATTTGAAACAATTTTTATTCAGTTTTATTTTTTTTTTAATAAATTTACATTATTGAAACCATATACATTAGAGGGTCCCCGACGTTTCCTTGTGGGTGTTCATAGTTTTGTAATTACAATATAAACATTTGATTTATTAAACAGTTGTTCGCAGACCTCAATTTTAATAATGTAAAGAATTTGTCAGACTTTAGAGTCTCCTAATAATTCTGTTTACAGCCCTTAAGTTATACAAACTTGTACAACAGCAACAACTTCCTTCCTCTTCTTTAGCAATTAAAAAGTATTACAAGCGCTTTTAGTATTTGTTTTGCGCTAAGTTTTGTTGCAATTGATACTTATATCATGTTTTAGAATGCAATAACAATTAATTCCTACTTTTCCCACATTATTAAGGCACGTCTTACAACTTTATACAAATACAAATTATCGCTGCTTGTCATCTTTGTATAAACAGAGTAATATATCGTTTTCGATTGCCTGTTGATATACATATAATATATTATATATGTATGTGTTTAGCAAATTTCAATGGGTTCTGTGCTGCTCCTAATTATTTTATTTGTCAATAATTTGCTACCAATACCTTTTAATTTCTAACTAAAAGTCAGGCAAAAAGCTAACTATGTCGTTTATGTATTCTAATTACCCGAAGGGATATTTAATAAAAAAATTAACAAATTATTGCATATACCTTTTGTCGCTGCTGCAATAAAGAGCTTATCAAAAGTGGTGAGTAATCAACCGGTCTAACGTAACTTGACTTGATAATAGTGATTTTCCTCATTGTAAAAGCCAATAAAAATGCATTTGTATTTAAATTAGCTTACATTCATTGTTTTTGTTGTTCAACTTAAAGTGTTTGCAAGTGCAATTAAATGGGAAAAGGTTGGGCCAAATGACAGTAGTGTTAATAGTATTGAATAATCACTTAACTGTGTTTGTAGTGGCGCGTTTTCCCATATATATATATATATATATATATACATTATGGTGGAGCGAAAAAAAACACTTTTTTTATAAGTGTTCTAGAAGCTGTGGAGAGTCCTCTTTCTGGCCAATTAAAATTTATCAACTTAAACAATTTTTTGTGGTCATTATTGGAGCTTTAAAAAAAAGTCTTAAATGTTCACATGCTTTCCTTAAGCGGAGGCAATAGAATTTACAGCCAAAATGTATCGAAAAGGCTTAATTGGAGCTGGTCTAATAGAATCCTATATCTAAGGACCTAATATACTTACATACGTACCCCAATCTTATTCTGATGATAGTGTTCCTCTGTGCCTTAAAAGGGGTACCTCATTTAAAGATTTTCGAACTTTAGATTTACTTTATAGTATGTTGTTGTTGTAGCGGCAGAAAACATTTCTGTAATAATTTCGAGGAATGGTGTCGAGATAAAATTCCGGGTCCGTTCCGGTTACTTAGACCCGACTGTCGTGGGAACGGTCTTTATAGTATAGTATATATCGGTAAATATGTGAATTATCTTAAGTATAATCAGGAAGCATCTCTTTCTAATAACGGTGTATTGTTTTACTTAAAATTAATAAAATCGGGTGAATACTTCTCCTAGCCTCCATATTCCAAATATACGGATTTTCAAACGTCCGCTTGGTTTTATGTTTTATATAGTCGTCAGCATGTAAGGTATCTTATTGAAAGCCTGCAAGCATCCTTTTTTGTCAATAATATGTCGTGAAACCAAAAAGGGGTAAGATCGAGTCAAAATTTTTACTAGCCTCCGTTTACCACACATAATGATTTTCAAACTTACGGTTAGCTTTATACTGTATATATATCGATCAATACAATAAGAACGATGTTTAATGCCGGAAATGGGTGAAATCGGTCTACGAATTATCTGAGCTCGCATACACTACATATCATTATTTTCAGTAGCTTTGCCTAGGACATTAATCAATATCATATCTCTTGAAGATATTCGAAGATATGCTAGCAGACTTTATGCCGAAGATGTCGATCAGTGTGTAAGTTATATTCATAATATAGCAATGATATGAAATGAATACGATTTTTTTAACGTAAAGTGGTTTAGCGCAGCATATGAGTATGACATCGATTTTGACCGTGGTCAATTATAGTGATCCGATCCTCTGTTTAACTTTTTCCTATTTAATATAAAATTTTGCGATACTTAAAAATATTTGCTCTGCAAATTGTGAACTTAACTTGTTTTTATAATATTATATTTTAAGTGGGTATTCTAGTCTAGCAGCACGAATTTCAGCTAATTTTTGAAGTGTCTTAAAAAAATTAAAAAATTAATACGAGTGGCACTCGAGGACTGTCGCGGTAAAGCTATTGCATGGAATTTTTTTTATCAACTTATGCAATTATAATTATTTAGTTATTATTATTTTTTTTTTTGATATTCAAGTTACACTTTTTGAGCGTGGTGACCGTTAAGAACACAAATTGTTTTCTTTGAAATAAATGAGAAGTTAATATTGTTTAAAATGTTTTTATTATCTCACAATACATGTAGGTTATTCAGGAATTTATGTCTTTGAAACTATAGGTTTATGGTAACTGAAATAAGTAACATAAGTTTGAGACTTGATATCCGCTAAATATCTGGAAAATAACGCTTCAATGGTGGCTCCATATTTTTTTGTGGATTCTTCTGGATCATTATTAATTTTCAAATTCTTTCCTTCCGAAAGAAAAGCTGTCAAGCGTTTTGATTTTATCAGCGAAGTTAATGTTGAAATCGCCAGCCAATGTAAGTGAAAATTTATTACCATTGATAATCAGATTGAAATACATAATTTCAATTGTATTGTTCAATTCAAACGAGATATTGTTCCAAAATGGGTAGCTATTTACCAAAATAATAATAATGTTACTAATATTATGACTCCGAATATTGCATAATTTTTTTTTAATTAATTAAAGTTTTAATAAATTCCATATTTTTATTTGCCATTAAAAGAATTGTATCTCAAATATTATTATTTTTGAATCACCCTGCTGTCTCTTAATATGATTTGTTCCGCTTGTGATATGAGTTAATACGCCTAAAAGTATGCAAACATTTTGCGCATACTTTGTAATCGTGTTAGGTTTATTTCCGTTACGGAATATCTTGATTCAATCCTCGCCCTAAAAGCCCGCGATATGTAGATGCTTAAAAGGCAATTGATATTTTTTACTATCCATTTTTTTATTAGTTATTTATTATCATTACACGAATAAAAAACAAAAAAATTAAAGTTAAAAACTTCAAAAATTATACATGATTTCAACACTCCTAGCAATACGATACAAAAAAAAATTGCCAGGAATTTTGAAAAACCCTCTTGTAAATATATTCTTACATAGTTAAACTTTGAAAATATAAAAAATAATCCATATATTATTATTTCTAGTTTAGAATACCCTTAATAAAATTTGAAATTTTACTAATATTTACATCACTACTGATAAATTTGGATCTCAACGAAAGTACTGTCGGTCATTAAACAATTGACATACATACATGCATATAAACATATGTACACATGTCCTATATAAAGAGCAGTGTCAACTTACGACTCAAATAAAAAAAATGTTAATGACAATGAACTACAAAAACAAATATTTCATATTTGTCTAGCAAAACGTTGTCAATTTGTTTTGTTGACACTTGTAAATTAGGTATGATTAAATTGTTTTTAATAATTTCTATTGTATTCGATTACCTGTGAGTACATATAATAACGCAGTACAAAAACATATATACATATATACATAAATACATATGTATATGTGTCCATTTTCCACTTATTTAAAAAAAAAAAGCGTTTCACTGAAACATTTCAATTAAATAATCCGAACTGAGATTATTTTCACGTGATAACGTGGAATCGCAAAGTCAAAGTTCCGCTTAAATTGAATTGAAATGCATTAATTTGTCTCGTCCCGTTCGCTGGCACTCGGTCCAATTTATGGGTCAATTTTCTAGTT